TATACGGTTTGTAAGTGATTTCGGCACAAAGGCAGATGCGCCACGATTTTCAGGCTTCCATTCGACGATCGCTGAAGTTGTGCGTTAACTTCCAGTTCCATGGTTCCATGTAAACTGTGATCAATGCATGTAACTCTATGTGCAGTGCATGTGCAGTGGGCGCAGTTTAAACTGAAGTGACGTCACACTTACGAACCGGATAGTTTTAGAGGCTTCTCTCAACATAAAGCCGGGTGCGGTTTGGCAGAGGAAGTAAACTGGACAGTGCTGGTAAGTTTGAATGCTTGATAAACAGGAAGCCTAAGCCCACATTAGCTACTAAATAAATTAAAGCTCCCCAAAGTTCTCAACATCAATCTGTTAACAGCATCTGTGGGGGTCTCTAAATTTAGCTTGCTGATGAAGCTGTAATTAGATTACTGGGTTAAAATGATTTCAAAGGGGGATTTAAGTGGTCACTCCAAAATAAAACAATGTACGTGTGTATTAACATGTTTGAGGGAAGTATGACTGAGTGCTGCATAACTTTAAAATTTTCCTGAAAAAAGGAATCTGACTTGATCACTAACATGCACACTTATCTTCAATTTTTCTGTGTTGACTCATTTTCTTGACTGACTGATTTATAGTTTGAGATTAGGGCACACAGAATGCATGTTTAGTAAAAAGGATCGCTGAATTGTTGAGGTGAAAAAGAAATCATGAAACACTATTCATTAATGTCCAAGACTATTTAGCCATTCCTATTAGTTGAGAGCCTGTCAAGCGACAGTTGTAAATGAGTGATAAAGCACTGGCTTGTGGAAGCACATACACTATAACATGGCTGGAGGAGTGTTTCAAAAAAATGAAGGGGAAACTGGTGAACCAAATTGAGGGGAAATTTAGAAATTATTAACTTTTTCTGACTTTCTGACTCATGAGGTACTTATAAATGGTAACAAATACAAACTTGGCAGGATTAAACATTTGCTAAGACCGTCACTGGCTCATCATGTTCTGCACTACTTCATGTAGCACATACTACGAATACATGTGTCTATTTATATATAAGGAGATTGTGTATGACTAATTCTAACAGGAACATACCACAAAATGGGATGTTAAAAATGTAAAAGAGTTGAGCAAAATTATTATAAATTTGTACTTTTTGAGCATATTATGACTTTCTGCCAGATTTTACATAGGAATAGGCACAGATTTATCCCTCATTATCATTCCACAATCATCTAATGAGTATAATAAAACATGAATGTAAGCCAGTGAGATGGGTCCCAAGGGTTTGCTGGTAAACATTGGGGTAATTAGCAATGTGAATGAATATTCATGTCTACTTTTTCTTTTCTTTATTTTCTTAATTTTAAGGTGATCAGTTCACAGGTTATCCACGTTTATTTCAATACCATTTCTAAGATTCGCCATTACAGTTCAAGCAGCACATTTTTGTTTCAAAAATTCTTAATATCTAACAATCATTTCACCACCAGATATGCTACTTTCTGTGAAATGGGCAATAACAGTTAAAACAAGCTATCTGATAATGCCAAGCTGTGAATTTCAAATAAAAAATTTCTGGATCTGAATTGCTTTCTTTGGATTTCTGTCAAACTACACTACTCAAAAAAAAAATCATACTCACTAGTTGACCCCTCTAGCCAGTTGGACTCTGAAACATATGATTGAGCAATGCATCGACATTCACATTCTACTATGCTTAACCAAGCAGAAGCATGCCTTCAGTGTACAGTAAGTAAAATCAATGAGGTAGACACCAGCCTGAAAGTTTCAAAAACAAATGTCTGATCCTTTGATAAATTTTGTAGACACTACTCAACAAAACTGACGGTAACCACAGTAGGTTAATGTCTTTGTTGTGCACTTAATAATACGATTAATAATATATTTATTGGCAAATTACCTAGTTTATATACAATGGGGGTTTCTCTCTACCCTACTAAAACATAAACACCGTATCTAATAAAGTTGATACCAAATACTTCCCCTAAGCCTAGATTTATCAAGTGGTTTGCATTTGACGCCACAGTGATCACAAACACTTTGGCTTCTTCCAGACAGCAGTGCCTGTAGGGTTATTTGAACTTCCACTGACCGCCAATGACCCAGTCTTTTACTGGGTTATTGAGATCCCGTCACAGTAATAATAATGTGAGTAATGACTTCAAGCCATGAGCCAGAATTAAAAAAACAGAATAATAATCAAGTGTGGCAATATGGTTGATCTCCTCTGAGCACCTGTGGGAATTCAATCCTCTTCTTTTCTGGGTCTATTTAAGTCTAACCACAGTGTTGGGGGGGGGGGAAATTTGTTTTTGGATACTGGGTTTTCAATGTTGAGTTGGTATGGGTATAATTCCTGGCAAAATTTTAGTGCTGGGGAGTCATTGATCACAATCACTATATTGAAACCCACCCACCACATCCTAAAAAAAAAATTAGGTTACAAATATTTTTTCACATTACACTTAACTTTAATCTTTACGGAATTCTAATTATGCATGCAAGTTTTGACCCAGTTTCCATTTAGGCCAGACCATTTCATAAACCTTTACAGGTTGAGAAACAGATTTGATAGTATGGCAGTGTAACCAAGAAACTTCAGATGCTTATTTTGATAGTGTCTTGTTACAAAATAAAAATTGGAATTTTAAGATGCATGAAACAGCAAACATCTGACACGACTTGCTGGTGATGCCAATCAAAACCAGTATGAAGAATTCTCGTCAATCGCTGGGAAGACCATTTTAAACTGGATATTATGAGCTGGTTAAGGTAATGATTGTAATTCATAGAGGGTTTCAGATAGACATATTTGGCACTAATTCTGTCAACATCAATGGCTTAGATTTGAACTGATGCAGCCTACATGATCTCAAAAGTTCTATTAGAACCCTCTCCAATGCCTCAACATCGAATGTTTTTCTCTCTGCAATTCTATTCAGCACCATGGGTGATTAGAAAGAACCTTTTTCATCATCAAATACAAACAAATATTAAAAAACCCAAAGTTTAAAAGGTAAAGCCATTTTGGTTGATATATCGAATGTGTCTTGCTTGAATGGTCTTTCCTTCACAACAGACCCACATTTCATATAGATAAACATTTCAAACTAGGTGCAGATCAGTTTCTAAATTAATTTGAACACCATCACAAGTGTGACCTGTCAGCAAAAAATCAGCTTAAAACAGCAAAGAATTCAGAATATTTCTTTTCTGAATTATGCAGAGCGAGTGCTTTTCAAAGGTACATGAACGTTATGTTTGGAGTTCACTTTGTGCAAATTGCAATAGATTTTCACCATTGAAATTATAAAAAATCACCCATGGTGACAAAGTTTAAGATCAGTCAGCTAATAAATCAGGATAAAAATAAGCTTTAAAGATGTTTGATAAAGTGAAGAATACTGATCACAAAAAATATGACTTTCAGAATGAGGTTCATCTTGACCATCACTTTAAAATTTGCCTTTTCGACTTTAAGCTAATTTTGTAGGTATAATAAATTGTGACAAGAGAAACACCATTCAGAGAAATTTTGTTGTCTGGGGTTTGGGTGTGGGGGGCCAAGGGTCTTTCCATGGTTCAAAGGGAAATTTGTATAAAGTAAGTTGTTTGTAGTTTCTAGTATTAACTGAAGGCATGCAGTGCTTGTGTTCTGTATCATCCACCTACATGTACATGTACAACTTGTCATGGGCCTGTTGGCATGGTCAGTATGCCTGTATCAAATCAATGAACAGTTTAGTCAACAGGAAAAAACATGAAGACCACCAATGCAGCTCCCAGGGTTAGTGTCCTAAAGTAACCAAATAATTTCCTGTATAGTCTACTTACAATGTATGATATGTAACGGTTCATCAACAAATATATACTACCCGTTATTGAACACATCTGAAGATACATAACTTTTGTGTTATAATTTATGTTGATCGACCACATCTCCTATATTTTCCAGAACTGTATTGCAGTACTTTTGTACAAAAGGTCTCCTGCTTCACCTTTCGTCCTTTTCTGACAGGCTGTCTGGAATCTTTTACATATTTTGATCATCATTATCTATCATCACAACGAACATTTTTCTACATCATCAAATTGCATTTTTCAATTTTGTACATGTAGGTCAGCCTAACTCCACTCCAGCCACAGTGATACAGGGCCCATCAGAATCTGTTACCTGATGTCTACTTAAGGCATGTACATCGAAACTTCAAATGGGGAGACATCAAAAAAGACTTCTTTCTCTAAGCAGATGTCAATTAAAATTGACCTCTTCTTATTATGTTGGGGTATTTTTGTTGTGGTGGTAATTCTGGTGCTGCATATTATGATTACCAAACTGAAACCAGTTGTCACAAATTCAAAGTTTCAAAAATGCAAACTTTGCATTGTGGACTATTTTTGCAAAGTCAAAACAACAGATAATTGGGATTTCAGTCCCACAACTACATGTACTTGCAATCAACAAACAGCACACCATGTTCCAAAAGTAATGCCACGTTGTTCTGTAAACTTAGAGTTGACCCTCGATTCATAGTGACCTAGTTAAACATTCCCATTAAACCAACGGGCCCAATCCATCTTTCAATAAAATCTAATAAAGAGGTTTATTACAGATTAGCTGAAAGATATGCCAAGAATGGTCCAATATCCGAGATCTGGAAAGGTAAACTTATTTATGAGATTTTGCTTATGCCACGCAAGATTGAGATATTTTGATGATCCAACATTCCGAATCTGAAATGCATAGTGGACCATATATAAGCAAAACTGAGCTAGCTGTCAATAGTACATGTACTAATTCTGAGCAGAATGAGGTCATCATGGTAAAGACTTCTGCCCAAGGACACCAAACCAGGATTTTCTTGCAGAAAGTCTTTTAACCGATGTACATAGCTACATCAATAGAACAAACAGTTTCTGCAAGCATAAACTATATTTTATGAATACAAAGCTGTGCAGCAATTTTAAAAATAACTTCTTACCAGAGAGAGAAAATACCCCTCCAGCAAGTTGTGCATCATCCACTGTACCAACTGGCTGCATTAAACTGCTAGAGGGTGCTGTGTTTACAATGACTAGCTGAGCTTCGGGTTCCTCACTCACCTCAGGAACCATATCCTTGAGAAAACAGAGGAAGATAAAAGAGGGAATGACACAACTTGAATAAGCCATTGGGGTGAGAGAATGTCGGGATCAGCTGTTGGCAAAATCAGCGCACAAGCAAACTAAGGAGATTCAAATAAATTTTGAGTTGCACTCGTGAGTTTCACTTCTCAAAAGTTTCACTTCTACTTCAAAACAGAAGGGAAGCAGACAGTACAATGATGTAATATTTTAAATAAAATCTAATTGGACCATACTCCAGCAAAAGTCAGCAGTTATCAATTCAAATCAAATTATTAAGTAATGCAAATAAGTAGCACAAACATGTAAAGGGTACTTCACATTATGCAAACTGTTTATTTCATGGAATGTTGAACATGCATATTTGTAACATTGTAACATTTCAAATATGTATGAGCTTAACATGTGACACTATACATTTTTATGGTTTTGAGTATTGCAACATGTCACATGATTTACATGCACTTTGTGTAAATTCACACCAGGCCCATTAAGTACATATATGACAAGTGAAAAGTCACAACATTCAGTGTGGTACAAATGTGTATCCATTGCTATGATGTGCATGTATGTGAGCTCTCACCGTCAAAGAAATAGTAAATTCTACCATTATCTTCCCTTACGGACTGCCACCACTCTGCAGTCAGTTTGCTGAAATTTTCAAATATTGTAACAGATGTTGGCAATGAAGACCACCCCTACAAATGCCATATGTTAGAGTGCTAGGTACACTGCTACCCATCGGAGGGGCAATAAAAATCAACAGTTCATGTAATATTGACCTCAAAGAAGAGGAATTGAAGCTGCATCTTCTTTTGGTGGACATAATTCATGCAGAAATAGAGTAACTTAACATGGGAAAAAGTTATCTCTGCTTAAATAAATAACTCAATATTATGCAGGAGATGTTCCCAGCCAAATATGGTTGAATCACTTGTGGATAGAATTGTTTATGGCTAAAATTACAACTTGGAGAAGTGGCAAAATATAGCCGTGAGGTCTGTCTCATCAGTGCGGCCCTACACAGACTCCTGAGCATGCTTTGTTCCTGAATGACCTTGCACTTATGAAATACATGTAATGGACTGAACTGGTTCACTGCAATAATTACCCATTTACCGACAATGTATGAGTGCGTGAACATATGCATGTGTACATTTTGGGGTCAAGCAATTCAGGACCACAGCAACATCCACGAAAAATCCAATGCTTTGGTAAAGGCTAGTGTACATGTACATGTACATGTACATGTACTGGCACCCTGACTACAGGCTGACGTTGCCCACAGAGAGCATTTCACCAATGTTATGACTTGCGATCAATAGGCCTCAAGCTATAGTGTAGCATCAGTACAATGATCAATTAAACACGTAGGTACGAGGGGTTATAAAACATTTTGAACTGAACAATTAAGGTATTAGAGGACATTTTTAGAATTGTATTTACACTATGATTAGTTAACAGTCATTTTTACAATTTGTTAAATACTACTATTTATCAGTAAATAAGGGATTCAAAGCAATCAACTAGAGAACTTGACCTCCCAATTTAAAGTGGGGCACTTGGTTGACCTGAGGAAATTAAAATACCACAAAAGACTGGCTTCCTCATCACCTAAAAAAAATAAACGTGCAATACAATTTGCTGACCGGAACAATCAACAGCCTGTCGTGCAAGTCACAGTACCTGATGAACACACTACCCCCTAGTCTGACAAGGTTACCACTTGGTTTTTGCATTTTCAGTACCGGAATATCGTGCAGAGAAAAGGAACATCCTCCACCAATCCTGAATTATCCATTAATCTTTCCAGCAAACGAGTAAGGATGAAACAATCTTGTCCTTGGGAACTAAAAGGACATGTACAAATAGGCTGGAAAGCCTTTCAAGAGTGCATCAAATTGTGTCAAAATCTCAATGTCCTTGGCACTCGTACCAGTCATGGAAAATCTTTCCTTAAACCACTGACAGCATTTAGTTCAAAGAAGATGCTTTTTATGCTTAAAAAGTAGGTTACAAGATTAGTGAAATCACAAAAATGGAACTGCTGAATAATCCTCAAATATTTTACTTAAAAGAAAAAACTTACAGCCTTGATCAATTTGTAAATTATTTTCACCTAGAAGCTGGGGTTTTAGAGAAAACTGAAAATTATGTTTTCCTTTTTATTGATGGTCGGCCAACCATCTGAATAAACAGGTAATACTTAAACCGGCTAAAAACACTGACATCGGTAGAAATTTATCAAATGCACAATAAACTGAAATTATAAGAAACTTAAGTGTAAGGTATAAATTAAAAAGGAAATTAGATCATTTTGAAGTGAAGTTAATTGAGAAAGGGATTTTCTTCACGTGAAAATATTGTGAAATCAAAATCAACCCCAAAGCAGGACGGTATGGTCCAAACTGCCAGCTCTGCTAAAGTAGCCAACATGGCTGCCATTTCCGAGTTGCACTATGAGAGGTCTTTTGTTAAAAACAGTAAAATTTCCAGTTTTTAAACTTCCCATGTTTCACTGCGCTCATAATTATTAGTTAGTCAACTGAGAATGGGTTCCAGACTTCCAAGATGTATACATGTACACTGAAGCAAAAGTGTGGTCATGAAGCATAGTCAAATCCTGCACCTGTAATGCCTGTTACTACAAATGCCCTGCAGTTCAAGGATTTGGCACAAAAGAAATAACAATATCTTTGCTTTAACTGTTGAAAACGCTGCTGTGTTTTTCCCAGATTTTCACAAAGCAGAAAACTCATACATGGAAGGAAGTCAGTCGAATGAGAGCTGCAGTGAATCCTAATCCCCTAAATCAGCCAATCTAGTGAAATTACAGTGTTACGATCCCAGTTGATCCGAATCCTTTTGTGTCTCCCTGAAAAGGTACGTGTGGAATTTAGGCACGTTCCAAAAACCTATAAAAGACTCCGTAGTCATTGATTTCGCTCTCAGTCAGTGCCTATATGCTTTTAGCATGTGCATTTCGAAATAGCCGGCGTTGGGTTAGCACCTCCTTGTCGTCTGCGCCTCGATTACTGCCGCACCGTGGCCAAGGCTGACATCGCTGAGGGACGG